TCGAACCCGCGACTCTCAGATTGTGAGTCGAGCGCCTTATCCACCTGGCCATGCCGGGCCCAAGCAGCATTATTTGAGAAATGTTTTAACCTGTGGTATCCGTTTGATACTGGGCAGTGTTACTGAAACGATGACCCTGTCCAGCTAGACAATACTTTTGATTATTTACGGGCTATATGCCTTTTTTAATTCTATTTACTTTTTTAAACTTAAAAAACAAAGTCTTATTGTTCATTTCTTTTATATACTTAGCGTTTCCTCTTAATTAATTTTATTCAATTGTTGTTTTAAAAAATTGCTATTTGGCGCAGATGACCCATGCCGCTTTGCACATCAAAACGTCAAATTAATAAGTCAATATTTATTATTTACCAGTGTGATTTATCTATACAAAACTGTGTTTGATATATAACTTGTATAGGCCAGTATACGTTAAGTACCATGATGTCTCATCCGCTGCAAACAGGACAATCGATTTACTTCCACGAAGTCAACAAGATGTTTCTTGTACACACCTTACCAAGGTGACATTCCGCCGACTAAACTTAGTACGTTATAAACTCTTTTTGTTTTCCAATTCTTGAAAAATCGAGATTAATTGAGAAACGAATGTCCCGAAAACCTTAAGACATTAAATGTCATAGGTTAATACCTTTAATTATTGTACTTACACCTTTTTTTCTTTCCTTTTATTTTTTCTTTTACAAACGTTAGTTTCAATGTCAACCATTTGACGATGCATTTGAATGCACGTAAAATAACTCCTGTGGCTTCAATAGTCATAGGTTATTCACTATCGCGTTGCTATTTCTTTTTTCCCTGTTTTTCATTGCCACCTCATACAGTTATACTAAAGCGTAGGATGAAATCTATTACAAAATAAATCCAGTACAAACAAAAAATGGCGTTAAATTTGTAGTGTTTAAAAATAAATGTCTTACATATATTATGGTTTTCTTGTTCATGAATAACTGAAAACAAAGATAAACAGAATATTGTTTTAAGCCTTGAAAGGTAGCTTTTTTATCTCAGAATAATTATTGATTTTT